CAGGACCCCAACAGAGAGGTGCTGAGGGGCCCCAGCCAGTGCTACCCAGGGCCTCGTATTCCCCCAAGTCATCGCAAAAGTGAATTCTAAGAAGGACCCATTCATTTTGCATTTCATCTCTAAGCCTAAAAATCTGCTCCTGGCTTACATTAACAAGTCTACCTGATTGGAAATATGAGGGAAAAAAAATAAGAAAACAAAGGGACTTTTCTAGTCCCACTGATGAGTTTGGATGGGTGAGGACCCGATGGTTAGGGCACCTAGGAGTCCACTGAGAGATCTTATAGCAGGTGGAGCCCAAGCCCCACCCTCAGAGACTCCAGTTAGGAGCAGCAGAGTAGGGCCCTGACAAGAGTGTGCCACCGCCCCCAGTCCTGAAGGGGCCCATGGGCCAGCCTTGCAGAAACAGCGGTGTCAACTCTGCCGGGGCACCCCATGTGCTTATTGCATTCCCAGGCGCGTGCTTGTCACTTTGGCCACAGGGGGGCAGGGAGGGAAATGGAGGGAGGAAACGGGGGAAATGGAGCTGGCTCAAGAAAATGCTCTGCTTCAGAGCAGCACCCTGGCCCTAGTCTTAGCTGTGGCCAGGCCTCAGCACACCCAAGACTGAGTGTGCATGTGAGCTCTTCTATTTCAGTCATCACCTGGAAGGTCTCTGTACCTCCTGCACAGACACATGGGACCATCAATCAGAGAGACCCAAGAAATGTCCTATATCCTTACCATGCTTCGTGTTTTATTTCCTCGTGCCTGTTTTACACATCCGGCCAAGGGTACACATTTTGAAGTAGAAGGCTAGTATCAGTGCCATGTACCCCTCTGCCACCCCAACATTTTGTAGATGAAGAAAGCAAAGTCCTGTCTGAGCCTGAACTTGCAGAGAAAATCATACATAGCATCGGGTAGAAGTTTCAAGTAAACAGTCCACAGATCACATTTTGTTGGTCTCACACTTGTTTAAAAGGAAAAAAACAATTTTATTTTCAAATTAACTTCCAATATTGCACGTAGGAGTCCAAATTTCTGACTTCTGGCTTTGGAGTGGGCCTTCCAGTTCTTCTGCTCATTAGTGGCTCAGAGCTGGAGGGGACTTTGGGGATTTTTTTTAATTGCATTTTAGATTTGGGGGTACATGTGAAGAACATGCAAGATTGTTGCATAGGTACACACATGGCAGTGTGATTTGCTGCCTTCCTCCCCATCACCTATAACTGGCATTTATCCCCATGCTCTCTCTCCCCAACTCCCCACTCCCCACTGTCACTCCCCTATTTCCCCCTGACAGACCGCAGTGTGTTATGCTCCCTTCCCTGTATCCATGTGTTCTCATTGTTCAACACCCACCTATGAGTGAGAACATGCGGTGTTTGATTTTCTGTTCTTGTGTCAGTTTGCTGAGAATGATGGTTTCCAGGTTCATCCATGTCCCTACAAAGGACACAAACTCATCATTTTTGATGGCTGCATAATATTCCATGGTGTATATGTGCCATATTTTCCCTGTCCAGTCTATCATCAATGGGCATTTGGGTTGGTTCCAGGTCTTTGCTATTGTAAACTGTGCTGCAATGAACATTTGTGTGCATATGTCCTTATAGTAGAATGATTTGTAAGCCTTTGGATATATACCCAGTAATGGGATTGCTGGGTCAAATGGAATTTCTATTTCTAGGTCCTTGAGGAATTGCCACACTGTCTTCCACAATGGTTGAACTAATGTACACTCCCACCAACAGTGTAAAAGTGTTCCTATTTCTCCACATCCTCTCCAGCATCTGTTGTCTCCAGATTTTTTAATGACCACCATTCTAACTGGCATGAGATGGTGTCTCAATGTAGTTTTGATTTGCATTTCTCTGATGACCAGTGATGATGAGCATTTTTTCATATGTTTGTTGGCCTCATGTATGTCTTCTTTTGTAAAGTGTCTATTCATATCCTTTGCCCACTTTTGAATGGGCTTATTAGGTTTTTTTTCTTGTAAATCTGTTTTAGTTCTTTGTAGATTCTGGATATTAACCCTTTGTCAGATAGGTAGATTGCAAAAATTTTTTCCCATTCTGTTGGTTGCCAATTCACTCTAAAGACTGTTTCTTTTGCTGTGTGGAAGCTGTGAAGTTTGATTAGGTCCCATTCGTCTATTTTGGCTTTTGTTGTCAATGCTTTTGGTGTTTTGGTCATGAAGTCCTTGCCTACGCCTATGTCCTGAATGGTTTTGCCTAGATTTTCTTCTAGGGTTTTTATGGTGTTAGGTCTTATGTTTAAGTCTTTAATCCATCTGGAGTTAATTTTAGTCTAAGGTGTCAGGAAGGGGTCCAGTTTCTGCTTTCTGCACATGGCTAGCCAGTTTTCCCAACACCATTTATTAAACAGGGAATCCTTCCCCCATTGCTTGTTTTTGTCAGGTTTGTCAAAGATCAGATGGTTGTAGATGTGTGGTGTTGCCTCCGAGGCCTCCATTCTGTTCCATTGGTCTATATCTCTGTTTTGGTACGAGTACCATCCTGTTTTGATTACTGTAGCCTTGTAGTATAGTTGGAAGTCTGGTAGTGTGATGCCTCCAGCTTTGGTCTTTTTGCTTAGAATTGACTTGGCTATGCAGGGTGGGGGGGATCTTTTTCACTGTACCCCACCTCCAAATCAGGAAGCCCAGCCCCATGGCAAAAGCCAAGCCCCCTGCCTTCCAGCCAGGCCTGTCCCCAGCATTATCCCACTGCTTTTTCCTCCTCCAGTTCCATCTCCAGGTGGCATCTGGGCTCTGATATGTAGTACTGAAGGCGTAGATACTCTGCCTCGACCCCCAGGGGCATGGAAAGTTGCCTAAGAAAGACCACCTGGCCCTCGAGGCCTTCCTCCCCCAGCAGGAAGCAGGATACTTCTTTAGTGACTTCTTCAGTGGCTCCCAAGTGAGGACGGGAAGGCCAATAGCAATGTCAGAGCCCCATAGGGGACCCCACAAGGCCCCTGAGGAATTCAAGGTTCTGGGAAGCCAATGGAAGGCCGCAGTCTGGCTCACTGTGCCTGTGGCAGCCCAACCTGTTGGAAATATGAGTGGGTAAACCACACCCCCAATTCCCCACATATGGCCTGAGCACTCCTATCCCATTGTATGAGAATGCACCCATTCACTAATTACATTCAAATGGAAGAGAAGAGCAAAGTCACAGAAGGCTTGTCACAAGGAGTGAGCTGCAGCTTCTCTCCAGTGCTCTGGGGAGGGGTGATGCTATAATGGCCTCTCCCAGCTTCTGCCGTCCACCACATGGAAAGAGTTTTCCCTTAAGGCCTAATGGGCTGCATGTCCACGACTGATGCACAGGTGCTGTCTAGAGGAAGCAGAGTTGCACAGGCTTCAGTCAGACAAGCTCCGGGGAACACCTGAGTGCTGCCCCAGAGCCCCAGCTGACCACCATGCTGGTCCCCAGTCCCCTTGTGTCCCTCCGCTGAAAGGAAGGTGCAGTAATGAGGTTGCTCTTCTCTCCTCAGTTCCACTTCTGCCTGGCAGTGTGACCTTGGAGGACCACTTAAAGTCCGTGTGCCTCAGCCTCCTCTGGCACTCAGGGTCCTGGGGCAGCACCTAAAATCCTTAGACCATGACAGGGATTTTTTTTGGCCAGTGCTTTTGAGGAGACAGTCCTGTAGGAGCTCTTTCAGAGGCTGGCAGATGCTGGATACTCAGGAACTGCTGGTTGCTTGTCCTTTTCAGAAGCTTGGAGGAATAGAGACTCTGCTGACCGCACAGTCCTTTGAGCTGCTCTTCCACTAGGCGGGGCCCAGATCTACGAGACTTAGCAGGCTGAGCCATGAAGTCACCATGGCATGTCCAGCAGAGGCACCTCCTTCCGCCCTGACACTGGGTTGCAGCAGCAAGAGTTGAATCGAGGCCAGGCGTGGTGGATCACGCCTGTAATCTCAGCACTTTGGGAGGCTGAGGTGGGATGATAGCGTGATGCCAGGAGTTCGAGACCAGCCTGGGCGACATGGCAAAACTCCATATCTACAAAAAATACAAAAATTAATCAGACATAGTACCTGTAGTCCCAGCGGCCCAGGAGGCTGAAGCAGAAGGATTGCTTGAGCCAGGAGGTCGAGGCTGCAGTAAGCCGTGATGGTGCTACCATACACCAGCCTGGGCAACAAAGTGAGACCCTGGCTCAAAAAAAAAAACAGAGTTGAATCTGTGTTCTCCGGGGACTTCTAAACAAGGAATAAGCAGATGAGATCATTTCAGGTAGCTGCTATGGAGAAAAATAAAACAGGATAATACGAGGCAGTTGACCACAGAGGAGAGTGGAGAAGAATTTGTTATTTGAGGGGAAATATTTGGCCTGAGACTTGAATGTTGAGGAATCAGCCCTGCAAAGATTTAGGGGAGTGGTAGGGTGAAGGCCCGAGGAAGGGTGCCTGGGCTTTTCCAAGACATGTAAGAAGGCCCAGGAGGCTGGAGGGCAGTGCAAGGGGTGGTGTTACGGGAGGCGAGGCCAGAGTGGCAGGCGGGCGGGCCCCACGCACCGTGTCCCCTGTCCTTGGAAAGGACAGGTTGCTGTCGCATCTGCAGAGGGAAGTCCTTGGGGGGCTTGAGGCAGGGGGGGAATGTGTTTTCCAATTTAGACATCGAAGGATGATTTTGGCTGCTGTGGAGAATGGTCAGGGGTTAGCCGGAGGTGACATGCGGAAGGAGGGAGACCAGTCAGCTGGGATGGTGAGAAACAGTGGTGGCATGGACTAGATGGGCCAGGGCAGGTGGCACAAACCCGATGCACTGGAAGGTAGAGCCAACCTGACGTACTGATGGCTGGGTGGGAGACCAAGGGACAGCATGGTCGACCAGATGATTCTGTGCTGATTCCTGTCTTTGTATCCAAAAGAAATCGGCTTTCGAGGGAATAAACCTGGTCTCATCAGTTCCCTGTCCTTGTGGTCTGTGGAAGTGTAACGTGATGGTCTGAGACCTGGGATTGCGAACTTCCTCAGCCCCTCCCCATACACATACACACTAACACACACACATGCCAGCCTGGGCCTCCCCCAGTCTGTCACTTCCTCTGTAAAGTATCAGTCACAGCCTCTGCATCCACATACCCTGACCGGCTGGAGAACCCTACTCACCCTCGCCATGCTGTGTTGCAGACTTTTCACCTCTCTTGGGAGTACAAGGACCATGTTCTCGTGAAGGCCTTCATGGAGTGCCAGAAGAGGAGCTTGGTCAACCGGTGCCAGGTCAACCACATGCTGGGCCCCAAGAAGAACCAGGCCCTGCCCTTCGTGCCAATGTCCTACCAGCTGTCCCAGACCTACTACAGGTGAGTGCCTGTCAGAAGCCCTGGGCACTCAGGTTGAGCCACGTCCTGTCTCTAAAGAGGAACCACGGAAACATCCAGGGCCATGAGAGTGTGTAGGAGCCGGGACCCCTCGAAGCCTCGTGCACAAGATGCAGGCTGGGGTTTCCTCCAGCCCCTCTCTTCCTTTCTGGTGTGAGGATAAGGTGGACGCTGGCAGTATCTTTGTGTTTGTGGCGTTGCCATTTTTGCAGGTAGTTTATTTTTGTTTCTCTCATCAAGTGGTGTGAAATCAGTTTTGCATTTAAGAAGTAGCCTGGCTGGAAGTCCACCCTCTTGGTTGGGCTTAGCCTCAGTCCCCCTTCTGCGTAGCCCTGAGACCCAGGAAGCCTCCCAGGCCCATTTGCAGCACCAGCAGCTGGTGCAGGGTTGGGGTACAGAGGTGCATTCAGACGGGCCCCCTCCTGAAGTGCTCTTGCAATGTGGCTTCATGTGACAGCAGGTGTGGCATCATCAGCCTCCTGAACACATGCAGACGAAACCCCTGAGAATATTCCCAAGCTGCCACCTTGACGGTTTTCCCTTCACGCCATTCTCCTTGCCTACCCTCCGGTCGGCACGGGGCTGTAGTCAGATGCTCAGAGACAACACCAAGAATCTTTCAGTTCTCTATCCCATCCCTTCCCCGTGATGGTAGACACTTTCTCCTCCCTAAACCCTCACCTCAAATGACCCTTGGGCCTCTGGGAAGTAGATTTAGCAGCAGAAGATACATGTCCAAGTCCAACAAGGCCATTTGTCATGGAGCCACTGCTCTGATGTCCCCATCTGAACCTATGATAGTGGTCAGCAAACAAGGAAGGCCCCTTGGGTCCCTCCCTTTAACCCTGGTAGCAGGGTCGTGGAATGCTGCTCTCTGGACAAAGCCAGGGAAGTGACTCACCAGGCACTGCATGGAGACAGTGACCTTAGGCACACATGTCCCCTCCTTTCTATATGAGACCAGGGCTGGCTTTGTGCAGAGACTGTTGTTACAGAAAGCATGTTCACCATCCCTAGTTCAGCATCTGTGCACGGTGAGCGCTGGTGAGGTAAGCCTGCCAGCGCCCTCCTGGAGTGCCAGGTGAGGCCACAATGAGTTAGATGAGACAGGACTCTGCCTGGAAGATGCTCAGGCAGTTGGGGAAGAGAGAGACACACACACCACCAGCTGGGAACGCAGCACCTTCATTTGGGATGGGAAAGAGAGCTTTAGGGGAGAAGTGGGGCGTTTCACTTAGTTCTCATCATAATGATTTGGTGTGCTCATAGCTTGTCCAAATGAAGGCTTCCCATGGCCACCCCTCAGGCCCTTCCTTTTTGTCTGTGTAGGATTTTTACATGGCAGTTTCCAAGCACCATCTGCAAGGAGTCATTCCAGTTTTTGGACAGAATGCAGGCTGCCAGCAAGTTGGACCAGCCTGATCATTTCTCTTTCAAAGACCAGGATAATAACGAGCCCACAAATGACATGGTGGCCTTGGACGGCCCTGGAGGAAGTTGTGTGGCCGTCCTGACCCTCTTCTCTCTGGGCCTTAATTCCGAGGACGTCAGGATCCCGGAGCAGATCATCATGGTAGACAGCTCAATGGTGGAGAATGAGGTCATCAAAAAGTAAGAGCCCGGTGTCCGCGACATCGGGTCTGGACACGTGCTAGGCATTGGCCAGACACAGATGAGCAGGGATCAGTAGTGCCTTCTGGGAGCTTGCAGGACAGGCTTTGCAGATGAGTGACTGGGGATTACAGTCCAGTCCAAGGCATCCTCTGCTGGTGCCTCCCGGGTGCTATGGGAATCCACCAAAGAGAAGGATGCAGCACAGCAGGGCAGGGGAGGCACAGGGAAGAGAAGGAAGGATTGGGGTCCCCTGGGGCTTGGCAGTGGAACTGGGGCTTCCTGGAGAAGTGGGTGTTTTCTGGACTGAGAGACGGGCAAGAGGAACAGTCCTCACAGAGACGTGGATATGTGACAAGGGGTGAGCGGGGTGCGCTGGAAGGTGGGGAAGGGGATGCATCTGGGGCAGCCATACATCCCAGCCTTGGTAATGAAGCACAGCCAGATGCTGGGGTGGCCACAGCTGCTGAGGCCACTGCCGAGACCCAGCCACAGAGGCCTCTCGAGGGAGGGGACAGGCTACAGTAGCAGCCGACTGGCCTGTGCTCAGGTTTCCAGGGCAATTTTCTTCCAGCTTGGGGAAGGACGGCAGCCTGGAAGATGACGAGAATGAAGATGAAGACTTGGGCGAAGGCGTCGGGGGCAAGCGCCAGAGCATGGAAGTGAAGCCCGCCCAGGCCTCCCACACCAACTACCTGCTGATGAGGGGCTACGGCTCCCCCGGCATCGTCAGCACCCGCAACCTCAACCCCAACGACAGCATCGTGGTCAACTCCTGCCAGATGAAATTCCGGCTCCACTGCACCCCTGTGCCCGTCCGGCTCAGGCTCGCTGGTGAGTGCTCCCGCTGGCACTGGGGGAGGACCCAGAGGCCCAGGCTGGGATCTAAACCATCAGGCTTCCCAGGCCAGGCGTGCAGCCACAGGACACACAGAAAAACACACCTCAGGTGTGCCTGTGCTGCGCCCACACCTCTGTGCGGGAGCTCACCAACAGTGCCTGTCTTTTAGTCACAGCTGTGCCACGGGCGCCCGCAGGCAGGCAGGCAGGCAGGCTCACAAGGAAGAGCAGGGCACTCCCACCTCCCCGCCCTGCCCCTCTCCACGCACCGCCCTGTCACTGCCCGGGCTCTAGTCTCCTGGTGCTTAGCTCTGTAACTCTACAGCGTGCACCCTTAGGAACATTTTAGGTCTTACCTTTTGACCCTTTGCCAGGAAAGAGGAGTATTCCACTCACATTCATGATCTCTTACCTCCTTAACTTCCAGTTTTGACACTTGGTTCTATCAATGATCTTTGAAACTTTATTTTTTATTTATTTAAAACGATTGAGATGGGAACTCGCTAGGTTGCCCAGGCTGGCCTCAAACTCCTGGCCTTAAGTGATCTTCCCTCTTCCACCTCCCAAAGTGCTGGGATTACAGGCGTGAGCCACCACACCAAGCCTATTTTTTAGAAACACGCGCTTGCTCTGTTGCTCAGGCTGGAGCGCAGTGGCATAATGATAGCTCACTGCCACCTCAAGCTCCTGGGCTCAGGTCATCTTCCTGCCTCAGTTTCCTAGGTAGTAGTTTGGTGTGTGCCACCATAGACAGCTAAGTTTTAAATTTTTTGTAGAGACGGGGCCTCTACAAAAGGCCAGCCTGGTCCAGACTGGTCTCAGGCGTCAAGGGATCCTCCCACCATGGCCTCCCAAAGCTCTGAGACAGCAGGCATAACGCATGCCCTACCTAGTGTATACAATATTCTAAATCCTTTGTTGCCATTTCAACAGTGTTCTCAGCATCTTTACCAGGAGTAGTTTCTATGTCAAGAAACACAAGAAACCGCCTTTGCTCATCTTTAGGAAGCAGCTCATCTGTTCAAGTTTGATTCTGAGATTGCAGCAATTCCACCCCTTCCTCAGGCTCCACCTCTGGTTCTAGTTCTCCTGTTATTTTCACTGCATCTGCGGCTGCTTTCTCCACTACAGACTTGAACCCTCAGAGTCATGCATGAGGGTGAGAAGCAACGTCTTTCAAACTCCTGTTGATGTAGGTATTCTGACCACCTCAAAATAGAATGGTGACTCTTTTCCGGAAGATTTTCAATTTACTTTGTCCAGATCCATCAGAGAAATCACTATAGTAGCTATAACCTTATGAAATGTATTTCCTTCTCTCTCTCTTTTTTTTTGAAACAAAGTTTCACTCTTGTCGCCCAGACTGGTGTGCAATGGTGTGATCTCGGTTCACTGCAACCTCCGCCTCTCAGGTTCAAGTGATTCTTCTGATTCTCCTGTCTCAGCTTCCCGAGTAGCTGGGATTACAAGCGCCTGCCACCACACCTGGCTAATTTTTGTATTTTTAGTAGAGACGGTGTTTTACCATGTTGGCCCACCTGGTCTCAAACTCCTGACAGGTGATCCACCGACCTCAGCCTCCCAAAGTGCTGGGATTACAGGTGTGAGCCACCGTGCCTGGCCACAAAATGTATTTCTTAAATAAGACTTGAAAGTGAAATGGCTCCTTGATCCATGGGGTACAGAATGACTGTTGTGTTAGCAGACATGAAAACAGTGTTCATCTCCTTGAACATCTCCATCAGAGCTCATGGGTGACCAGGGGGCATCATTAATCAGCACACTGTTTTGGAAGGAATCTCTTTTTTTTTTTTTTTTTTTTTTTTTGAGATGGAGTTTTACTCTTTGCTCTCCAGGCTAGAGTGCAGTGGTGCAATCTTGGCTCACTGCACCCTCCTTCTCCCAGGTTCAAGCGATTCTCCTGTCTCAGCCTCCCAAGTAGCTGGGACTACAGGTGTGTGCCACCACACCTGGCTAACTTGTGTATTTTTAGTTGAGACGGGGTTTCACCATGTTGGCCAGGCTGATCTCAAACTCCTGACCTCAGATGATCCACCCGCCTCAGCCTCCCAAAGTGCTGGGATTACAGGCATCAGCCACCACACCTGGCCAAGAAATGTTTTTTGTCTGAACAGTAGGTCTCTAGAGTGGGCTTAAAATATTCAGTAAGCCATGTTGTAAACAGACGTGCTGTCATCCAGCTTTACTGTCCTATTTATAGAGCACAGGCAGAATAGATTTAGCATAATTCTTAAGGGCCCTAAGACTTTGGGGATGGGAAATAAGCATTGGCTTCAACTCAAAGTCACCAGCTGCATTACTTCTTAACAAGAGAGTGGCCTGTCATTTGAAGCCTTGAAACCAGGTGCTGACTTTTCTTTGTACCCATGAAAGTCCTAGATGGCGTCTTCCAAGATAAAGCTGTTTTGTCTACAGTGAAAATCGGTTTAGCGTATAAACCTTCACACTGATCCTGGCTGGACCTTCTGGACAACTTGCTGCAGCTTCTCCATCCACACTTGGTGCTTCACCTTATACTTTTGGTTATGGAGACGGCTTCTTAAGCTTCATGAACCAACCTCTGCCAGCTTTCACCTTGTCTTCTGCAGCTTCCTCACCTCTCTCAGCCTTCATAAAATTGAAGAGAGTTAGGGGCTTGCTCTGGATTAGGCTTTGGCATAAGGGAACGTTGTGGCTGATTTGATCTATCCAGACTGCTGAAACGTTCTCCATGTCAGCAGCAAGGCTGTTTTTGCTTTATTATTGTTTGTGTGTTCTCTGGAATAGCACTTTGAATTTCCTTCAAGAGCTTTTCCTTTGCCCTCACAGCTTTGACTCACGTTGGCTTTCAGCTGTCTTGGCTGTCACCATGCTTTCCTCACAAACCCTCATCATTTCCAGCCTTTGATGTAAAATGAGAGATGTCCAACTCTGCCTTTCACATGAACACAGAGGGGCCATGGTAAGGTTGTTAATTGGTCTGATTTCAATATTGTTGTGTCTCAGGAATAGGGAGCCCCAGGAGAGGGAGGGAAGCAGGAAATGGCTGGAGTTGTCAGAACACACGTGACATTTATCAGTTAGGTTTGCTGTCATGTGGGTGTGGTTCATGGTGCCCCAAAGCAATTACAGTGGTAACGTCAAAGATCGCTGATCACAGGTCACCATTGCAGATGTGATAATCAAAGTGCAGATATCATGAAAGTTACCAAAGCATGGCAGACACAGATGGAGCACCTGGTGTTGGGAACATGGCACCAGTAGGCACTCTCAATGCAGACCTGCCACAAACCTTCAGTATGTAAAAACAAACCCAAAAGCACAATATCCATGAAGCACAATAAAGTGAGGTGCTTGTGAAGCTGATGGTGTTCATTATATGTTTTGTAACCACAATTAGAATTCTGTACTTTGTCTGGAGTTTGGACTGGGCAAAAATGCAGTGGTAACCTACCAATTATGGCCTTAGCAGAGACGTCTTCCACAGGAAGCAACAGAAGCCAGCGTGGGAAATGTAGGAGTCCCTGGTCAGGGACTCCCACCAGAGCACTGGGCTTTACAGTTCTCGATCCCCAGTCCTCGGCCTCTGAGCAGAAAAATCGTAGTGGCCAGGAGAAATCCAGTCAGCTGTCGTCAGGGACCTAGGGTCATGGATGAGGAACCTGACTCCCAGGGGCCCAACCTGTCCACCCAGCAGGTGAGCCCTGTGCGCTGGAGCGTGCCTTTCCTAAGTGTGGCCTGTGCGTTGGTCAGGGGAGGAGGGCCTCTCTCGGGTTGCCTCTGATCTTCCTCTGTGTTCTTCCAGCCGCTCCTCTGGAAGAGCTAACAGTGGGAACTTCCTGCCCCCCTGACACGTTCACGAAGCTGATAAACCCCCACGAAAACACCTGCAGCTTGGAAGAGTTTGTCCTCCGGCTGGAGCTCTCTGGGTATAGTCCGGAAGACCTGACTGCTGCTTGGAGATCCTGGAAGCCATTGTAGCCATGGGTTGTTTTGGGATCGACAAGGAGGAGCGGCGCAGATGGTTCTCGGCTTTGGATCAGCCAGGTGGTGGGCGTACCAGGACGTTCGCAGACTGCGTCCAGGTGAGCTGTGCTGTAGCTTAGCCGGATGTCACTGAAGCCGGAGTTGCAGCTCCCAAGCCAGGTGCACGCTGAGGATGGGCTTGATGTGGGGCATAGCATGGTGCATTCTTTTTAAGCATTGAATTAGTCGTTAACGTTTGAAAACTGGGGCATTTCGCGTTCGCTTTGAGGGTGCAGCTGTGGCTTTCTGAAGGTCACACAGCTGACATGGTTCGGGAGCAGCCAGGCTGAGCCTAGAGAGGAAGAGAGGCTCCTCCACAGCACGGGGCTAGAAGGGGCAGCCCCGGGGCTGGGAGCTGGGCCCGCCTCGTGGACCTGCTGCTCAGAGACTTAACCCGCCGGACAGGGGAAGCCACTCTGCTCGTCCCCCATCACCAGCGAGGAGGATCCCTGGCTCTCCACAGACTGCACCTGTCTCCTGCCCCCGCAGGCCCTCCTGGAGCAGCAGCAGGTGCTGGAGGTTGGTGGCAGCACTGTGCGCCTGGTGGCCATAGGCTCTGCCTGGCCCTGGCTCCTGCACTCTGTGAGGCTGAAAGACAGAGAGGAGGACAACCATGCCCAGAGAGAAGACCCTCAGGCCAGACCCCTGGAGGGGTCTTCCAGCCAGGCATCTGCTTCTCACAGCCCCCAGGGCACCAAGAGGTACGCCATATGGGCCAGTGAGATCAGGGAGACCCCTGCCAAGAGGCCAGCGCTCCAGGACTCAGACTTGGCCCCCAGCCTTGGGCCTGGAACAGAGGACTGTCCGCCACCCCACCTGTGCTTTCCCTCACTTCCCTGATGGGCCCCACACCTTCCTCCCAGGTAGGGGACCTGCCACTGGCACAAAAGGGAGTTGATTTCAGCTTCTCAGAGCCTGAGCACTGCGGGGAGGATGCTGCCTGTAAATGCATTTCCAGGGGAGGGCAGAGGCCTCCCACACCCCAGGCAGCGCTGTGAGTTCCGGAGCAGGAGCTCAGGAGGTGGGTCTGGCGTGTGTGCCACAGCCGCTGCTGCAGAGTGGTGACGGTGTGGGGGTCTCGCCTTCCTCGGGTGGCAGCACGCCCTTTCCTCTCCTGCGCCATCTGTCATCAGCAGCGGCCTTCTCATGTGGCTTCCCTGGGCGTTTTTGTTTCCTTTGGGGTGTTTTTGCCTCGGGTTTTATACCACCCTTGTGGTCAGGGCTTCTGGGTGGGAAATGAGGGGTTCACTGGCTTCCTCCGGTGTGGGGCTTGTCTGAGCGTGGGGCGCTGTCTGCGGCAGTCTCACATCTGCGCCACCTCCAGGGTGGCCACTCTGTGAGGAGATGATCATTGTCCTTTTTTTGACACTACATTCCTGAACCTCGAGGTGCCCAGCTCATGCTGGGTGCTGGGTACCATGCTGAACGTGGGGAGGCAGAGATGGCTTCCCTGCCTTTCCGAGACTCTCACATCCTCTTCCTCTTCCCTCAGGGTTCACAGAGAGTTTTGGAGCCAGCAGCATCTCCCAGACAGTGCAGGAAAGGTGAATGTGGGGTTCTGGCTCCGGGGCCTGGGGTGGGGGCTCTTGACCGGGCCTGAGTGTAAGGATTTGCGTGAGGGTCTTTGAGGGTCTCTCCCCAGGTCCCGGCTCTGACAGCCTGCCCAGCACCGTGCTTCTCAGCAGGGCCACTTAGGGGGATGCAGTGGGCAAGCAGCAGGTGTGCTGGGCACTGGCAGCACCCAGATCAGCTTGGAACGAGCACTGTGCTTCCAGGATGCTCAGGGTGCTGGCGGAGAACCACGCCTGGCACCGTCAGCTGCACCTCCCCCCCGAGCTCCTTACGGCTCACAGGCCCCCACCCACTCCTGCAGATGAGCCCTGAACGCCTAGCTGCCCCCAGGGACAGCTGTGTCCCAGAATTAGAGGAGGCAAGGGTGCCACAAAAGCCCCTCTGGTAGGGGTGACTCCCATGAGTGTGTGCGCTGACCCCGGATTGGCAGGGCCCAAGTGCCCTGTATTCTGGCTTTCAGGAGCTTAGTCGTGCCCCCGCAAGGACCCAGCCATGGTGATGACAGCCGAGTGTCCAGGTTTTCTGGGTCCACCCCGCTCCTGAGCCCCGGGAGACTGTTCAGTCGCTGACTTAGTAGCAGAAATATCTGTTCCAAGGAAAGGGTGCCCAGAACCCTGCACACGGCATGGAGCAAAGCTTCAGGGTTACGCTCCTGTGAGCTGTGCCAGAGGCTGGAGGTGGCTGCTGCCCGGGCTGCCAGGAGAGCTGGCAAATCCAGGAGTCCCAGCCCTTGGCCCTCTCTTGCCAGTGTGGGGGGACCTGGGGCCTCGGTTATAGCTGCATCTGTGCAGAACCCCACATCGTGGTTCCATCCAGCTGGTGGCTATAGGCCCCTCTCTGTCCAGACAGGAAAGAAGCGGGGAGTTTGTAGAACAGAGAGCAGGAGGTGACCAATCTTAGCCCTGTGACCTGGGCCGGGCCTAGGATAGCCCCAAGCCTCAGTGTTCTGTCTGAACCAGATGCCCTCTTGCCCCTGCCAAGCCCTGATGCCAAGCCCTCTCCCTGCAGGGACTGTGAGAGTGATTCCTTCATCGGCTGGCCGTGGCATGTTGTGGACGGCCATCTGAACCTGCCCGTGTGCAAGGGCATGATGGAGGCCGTGCTCTACCACATCATGACCAGGCCTGGCATCCCCGGGAGCTGCCTGCTGCGCCACTACCAGGGGGTTCTGCAGCCCGTCGTCGTGCTGGAGCTGCTCCAGGTGAGAGGTCTTCCCAGGCTCATCAGGGGCTGGAGGCGGCTGGGTGGACTCGAGGGCCCGGCCGTGATGTGCAGGCTCCAGGCAGCATGCAGGACCACCATACTGCTTACCTGCACCTCCTCCCCCAGCCTGTCCTGGGCTGTCCCTCAGTGTCCTTTAGCTGCTCCATGCTGCAGGCCAGGCTGGAAGATGGGGCGCCCGGGGTGCTTGTCTCTGATGCTTTCTCTATGCGAGGGGTCACTAACTCACGAGCTCACGGGGCCCCCAGGTCAAGGAGCTGCGCCCTGGTGTGGCTGCTTCCTGCTCGGCTGACAGCGGCTCTGTGCTCCCAGGGCCCAGCGTGACTGAGGCCTCCAGCTCCTCGGGCATCTAGGAGCTTGAAGTTCAATGTCAGACTCCCCACGGGCCAAACAAAACCTCACCTGGAAGCCAGTCTTGGCTCACAGGAAGCTGGGATGCAGCCCCACTGCAGGCCTGCATGACATTCAGCATGGTGGCCACACGCTCAGGCCACTGCCTCTCCCGCCAGGGCCTTTGCCTGAACCCTCCTGGTACATCCCCACTTGCCTCATGGCCGGTTCAGGTGCCCCCTGCTCTGGGAGTGGCTTCCTAGTACAAAGAGTTCATTCCATAAACGCTTGAAGAATAATCAATAAACAGGTGGCGTTGCGCCCTTATAACCTGTGTGCCTGGTGTCTGCAGGGCCTGGAGTCCCTCGGCTGCATCCGGAAGTGCTGGCCGCAAAAGCCAAGGACCGTCTCACTCTTCCCTACACCTGTGGTGGAAGAAGTGGAGGCGCCCTCTAGCCTGGGCAAGAACCCCATGGCCTTCTACCAGCCTACCTTGGACTATACTCTCCGGCTGGGCGGTGTGTTTCCCCACAAGGTCAACTGGAACAAGTGGATCCACCTCTAGGACCCCTGTGGGCGTCCTCTCCTCCCAGCCACTGCCTGCCACGCCACCCTGCCTGGTGCTGGGCAGACGCCACCGTGCCCCAGCCTTGGGTCTGCCGAGCCTCCTGCAGCAGGGGACGGGTGCTCTGGCCAGAGCCACAGCCCGACACGTTTCCCACTCTCCTGGAACTCTGGAAAGAGGGGCTTCTCCACCTGCCAGTGCCCCAGGCTCTTCAGGGCCTGGCCCTTGGGGGCTGGCCTCATCACACCGGGAACTGGTAATCTTGTCTCGGGGTCTCTGGAGTTGGCCCTGCCTGTGCACACCTCACATTCCAGGCTCCAGCCCTCAAGGCAGGGTCTCTTGGCTCCTTGAGAGCCCGAGTGCCACTGAGAGCAAGGGCCTTGTGGGATACGCCTTGCAGAAGAGGGGCAGTGTGCCCTGCTGCCCATGGGGACTGTGGCGCCTCCCCAGGCAGGACATCCCAACCCCTGGGTGGGAGTGAGACCCCCAGAGCGGAGCCTGGGGCTTCCTTTCTGGCCTGTGAGTCACCTGGCAGGCCCCGCTGGGCTGGGTCTTGTGTCCCTCCGCCTGGCTACTGAGTCCCTGTGGGCCAGAAGTGAAGAGTCCCTGTAGGTTTTGGTTTTGTTTATTTTGTTCTTTCACCTTTTTTCCTCAATTAAAAAAAAAAAAAGTCCCTGTGGAGTGGATTTATTTATTTTTTGATTCAAGGGAAGTAAAATCCATTCTGTTTTGTGTGTTTCCTGAAGAACCACTGATTCCCCTAGGGGACTCCCTGCTTTCGGCGCAGAACAACCTGGAGTGGCTGTTCCCATTGAAACCAGAGGAAGAGGGAAGGCCCTGATGCTAGGCTCGGCAGCCCCGCCCAGCCTCAGCCAGCAGGTGAGAGATGGCCTCCGGGATGGAGAGGGGCACGGGCAGCCCTCTCACCGCCTTCTCAGCTGGCCCCAGGCCTGCCCCCGCCAGAGCTGCTCCCGACCCAGCGCCAGGCCCGCCGTCACCTCGGCTCACAGCCGGTGCTGTCAGCAGGGCCTGCAGGATGGACCTGGCCCCTTGAAGTTCTCTTGAATGCACATGATTACATTTCTTTAAGTTAGTTGTCAACATTTTTTTAATGTAGAGTTTTCACATTAAAAAAAAAAATTCAGATGTCTGTCTTCTTTTAAAATGGAAAGTTCCAATAACAATGGGCTTAGCTTTCCACCTGTGACAGAAGTACTGAGCAGAGGCCGCTGCCTGTAGGTGGGATATGCCCCGCCCCAGCCATCTGTGTCTCACACCCACCTGCAGCTCCTCTCACGGGTGGGTGTGAGACACAGATGGCTGTGTCCTCCCTGGGGAACATGTGCCCTTAGGATCCCTGACCTGACCCACCTTCCAACCCAGGAAGGGCCACTCTGGGCCGCACTTGTGGGCGAGGAGAGAGGAAGACAGGGTCTTGGGGGTCGGAGTCCTGAGGGTGAGCCCCCGCACTGCCAAGGCTGCTCAGGCCTTAGCTTCCTTTTTTTTTCTCTTTAAAGTTTCATTTAAACTTTAAAGCTGAAGAAACAGTAGTGTTCTCTGGGACTTTTGGAGGCAATCATGTAGAATAGTGGATGTGGTCTGCTTCATAAAATACTGAGCAAATGCTATTTAGTCGGGAATGTGTCATGTGGTGGAAGAAAGGTTTGGGAATCCAGCAAATGATTCTTAAAATACTGACCACTGTATCCACATTTCAGAGCCTTAGTTTTCTCTTGTGAGAACAGGGTGAAGAGCTGAAAAGCACTGGGTGCAAGTGCATGGTCTGGCTCAACCAGCTTTCCTTCTCTGCCTGTGCCTCCCAGATGAGGGAGAGTGTGGGCCTGTGTTGGGAAACAGGACGTAGGGTTGGTGGAGACAGGTCTCAGACGGTGACATGGGGCTTCTGTGAACACCAGCCCACATTCCTACAGCCGTTGCCCAAGGGTGATCTTGTTCCCTCTTCCCCTCCCTCCTACCCATCGTGAAGCCTCTCATCTGCCCACCCATCTATGCATCCATCCATTCATCTGTCTATCCATCCATCCGTCCATCCAACCATTCATCCATCTGTCCGTCCACCCATCCATTCTTCTGTCCATTTGTCCATCCACCCATCTGCCTATCCATCCTTCTATCCATCCACCTATCCATTCATTCATCTGTCCATCCATCCATGCATCTGCCCATTCATCCATCTGTCCACTTACCCATCCATCCATTCATCTGTCCATCCATCCACCCATCCATCCATCTGCACATCTACCCATCCACACATCCGTCCATCCACCCACTCATCTATCCATCCATTCACCTATCCATCCATCTTCCCAACTACCCACCCACCCCCCCATTCATCCATTCATCCACCTACTCATCCATCAATCCATCTGTGCATCCACGCACCCATCTATCCATTCATACATCCATCCATCCTTCCAAGGCTGCTCTCTGCCCCTCCAAGCTCTGCACAGAAGTCCCCAGAAGCCACAGCATCGATCAGTAGTTGTGAGTTGAGATGACTTCAGGGGCCAGACAGGTAACAAATGAGAGGAAAGGGGCCTTGGGTGAAACACTGGGGAGTGACAGCAACCGTGGAAAACTAAAACGTGTATGCCCAGGCTGTGAAGGAATGCAAATTTGGCAGAAATGTTAAGCACTATCTACCAGTTAAAACCTACAAAGAGGCAAAAATGTGTCTCTGGCCCTTTTGGAGCTGCCAGAACAGTGCTAGATGGTTGCTCCAGGTCTCCTGCAGAGAGAGCAGGGAATGCACAGCCCAGATGGGCACCTGCAGGAGGCTTGAACAAATTGGCTTTATGTCCTTCACTGTGCCCTACAGTCTTGCGTTCCTCACTCTTAATTCTATTTTCTTTTTCTTAGATAAGCAAATATATGAATGCATTCTCTGCCAAATCCAACATTTCAAATCCTGCTGAAGCCTCTGGACCCCTCTCCTTCAGGGACCCTCCCAGTTTCTCTCTTCCCATTTCCATCCATATCTGTCTGTGCACGCCCTGGGAAGCCCAGGCCTGTGATACCATGTGACATAAAACACGCCCTCAGCTCAGCCACTCAGGGGCTCCCTCCACGTCCGTCCGCGTCGGCCGCTTGTTATGGGAGTGCTTTGAGGAAGTAGCCAAGGCCTTAGCAGAAAACCACCAGGGAAAGCTTTACTGGAGAGCCCTTCTCCGCGACAGCAATGCCTCGGCTCCCTGCTCATCAAACAAGGGCCGTTCTGCAAACGTTTCCACAGGAAATCACTAGGCATCCACCTGACGGCTGTGATAGGGCTCCTCTGACTTCTTTTTGTTTCCTAATCTTAAAAAAACACCTTTGAAGGGCACCTTTCTTCCGTTAATAATGTAAAAAAGATGCCATCGCCACAGTAAAATTCCCGGGACCCTCAGTTCTTTAGGGAGGAGCTGAGTGGCTGGTCTCGCTCACCAAAGTGTCTTGACTGTGATGGAACTTACACTGAGAAATTTCCCGTTTCTTATTTTTATCCTTGAATTCCATTGTCCATGAACGTTTTGAAGTCGCGAATGTGTATCTGCACATGCATGCTGTGTACATATGTATTTGGCTGTGTGGATATGTGTGTGTACACGTGTGTGTCTGTGTGCCTGCATGGAATCTCCTTCCTCACCTCCCAGTGCCCAACACAGGTCCATCCACAAAGGGTAGAAATCAGCCTTGTTGAATTAAACCCCTGCCAGCTCACCCCATCCTCATCGCCCCTATTCCCTACCACGGAAGGCTGCTGTGACGATCATCCAGGGTCCATGCACCTGTGTGTCATTTCCTCCCTGACAGCAGAGCGTGAGGGCTCCACCTTCAGCGGACACCTGCAGATTGCAGTGCTCCCCAGCAGGTGGCAGCAGCCTCCCAACTGTCTCTGTTTTCCATTGCTGCTTCTTGGTTTCCCGTGGTCCATTTCTGTCTCCAGGGTGAGGCCAATAAGAGCTGACTGGCGCCAGGCATGACTTCTCCATAAAATCGATGATGTCCTAGCAATAAGATTTCCTCAGCCTGCCAGATGCCAGACACTGTTCTGGGCATGTTACACACACTAACTCCTGGCCCCGAAACAGCCCTAAGACATCTATCAGTATACCCATTTCATAGACGAGGAAACTGAGGCACAGGAGGTAAAGTCATGTCCACAGGGCTGGAGGCTGGAAAGCGGATCTGCTGGAGTTCCAGGCTGCCAGCCTCAGGGACCTCTCGTCACACTGCCTTCCAGGGATGGGATTTGTTTTGGGGTGGTGGGGGAGCCAGCATTGTGCTGGGAGACTAAAGAGTAGGATGAAAGGGTTTCTTATCCGGGGTCGTCAGTTGTTTTTTTTTGTTTGTTTTTGTTTTTGTTTTTTTTTGAGACAGACTCCCTCTGTCACCCAGGCTGGAGTGCAGTGGCGCCATCTCGGCACACTGAAACCTCCAGATCCTGTGCTCAACGATTCTCGTGCCTCAGCCTCCTGAGTAGCTGGGATTACAGGCGCACACCACCATGCCCAGCTAATTTTTGTACATTTCGTAGAGATGGGGTTTTGCCATGTTGGCCAGGCAGGTCTCAAACTCCTGCCCTCAGGTGATCCACCTGCCTCGGCCTCCTAAAGTCCTGGGATTACAGGCGTGAGCCAAACTGCACCTGGCCTGGGGCCATCAATTTTCAAAAGAAAAACCTTCACGTTTGTCACCCTTAAAGACCGGGGAGACCTATGGTCGTCCCATGGTTTCAGCAACGGAGGAAGGGCTCTGGCTCTGATTACAGACTTCCTGTGAGGCCTGTTTCACCTCTACACCTCATTCTGTGCCCTTTCTAGGTCTGGGGCAGATGTTTCCCCCTCTCCACATACTGCTTTGCCAGTCCCTGCTCTACTATTGATTGATTGTTTCATTCATTCATTCATTCATTCTATATTTTTTGGTACCTGTTCCATACCAGGCACTATTCTGGGCTCTGAGACCCAGCGGAGACTAAATACCTGCTCTAGTGGGGATAGACAGTAAATATGATGCGTAAATAACACAGACATATTAGAGGGTGTAATAAGTGTGATGGAGAAAACCGAAACCAGGCAGTGGGGTGCTGCACTTTGAAGAAAGGGACCAACCCACGTAGGCCCCATGGAGAAGGTGATGTCTGAGCAAAGACTGGACTCCATCCTTTCGTCTTGCATGAATGTGTGGGTGTTTCCTGACTGCAGATGAGCCTTCATGTTCTTCCCTGTTGAGAATATGAAGGAAGTGCCTGCTCCTTTACTGTGAGTGGAATGGGCTCCTGGGAGGGGCGGTGCATGTGCTCGCTGCTCCTTCTTCCACCGGAAGCCCCCTTCCTGGGTTCTGTCAGTGTACCTGGGGTTGGGTGGGCTGTGCAGGGCTGTGCCATACCATGGGGCCAGCAGCTGGGCCCAGGCAAACCACATCCCCAGACAGGAGGGAGGAAGGGGCTTTCACCTCCAGCTGGGGGGCCAAAAGGTGCTCAGGAATGGGGCAGGCCATGATGGACTCCAGGAAAATCACTGCCTCTTTCTGGGCCTTGACTTCCCTCCATCTCCTTCCCTTGTTAGAGCATCTGGGATACCCAGACAGCATCCCAGGCTGAGATCTCACAGGAACTGTAGATGGTTGGGGAGCTGGGTTTATGTGTTCTTTGAATTACCGCAGAGAGCAATGCAAGCATCAAGGCATCTGGAGGGAAGCATTTATGAACTCTCTG